ACCGATGTTTTGAAAAAATATTCAATGTAGAAAACAAACTCGAAACTTTATAATAATTAATACTAAAGCCTATGAATGCTGGGTATTTTGTGTTTTAAGCAGCAACATCATTCACTGTCTACAGAGGCTATTGCATTTCTAAAATAAAGTCAATAACTATTAATCTTTTATTTATTGTTATATTCCTTGCTAATAGGAATATGAAATGGACAAACACAGGGGATAAATAGTAACAGGTTCATTGTAGAAACCAGTACAACAGGCAAGGAAGTAATAGTTATGCGTACGGTCGCCGTAAGTCAGTACAGTTGTGTGCGTGCTGCTATCGGAAAGCCGCTAGTCTCGCAGATCCCAGCTCGACGGTATTTACCTGCCTTCCCACAAGGAAGGATGTGGCACAAGGCGGAGTTTAATGTGGGGCAATCTGAGCCCGTAGGCTCGGCCAAAACTTGTCCATAACCCCGCATGAACGTGTTCGCATCTGTCTACCTCCCCGGACAAGACTCTACCATTCGGCATAGCCTCGTCCGGAATCTTCTCTGCCTTCGACAGCAGCCAAAATCTGAATAACAGATCCCAGCTCGAGTCTCTCGTCCGCTATCCTAACGGATACTTATAGGCCATTATCACCTATAGTGCCGCCACTCACATCATTTATTTTCTCTTATTCTTTATATTTATTCAACTAGGTGTATTAGTGTTAATAGTATTTGCTTAGTTGAATCATTGAAAATTATTATTCATTTTTGAGTAGCTTTATTTTTTCATCTTATTTAGTTTGATTTTATTACACTAATAACAATTATTGAAATATAGAATTTCTTAAAAGAAGCATTTTCAATTATTAATTTTATTAGTATTTTCTACGTTTTAATTATATTGCACTTACTACTTTTCTCATGTTTTTAAGCTAACTACATAAATGAATCAGCAAAATTTAACTTAGGTGCTGCGGTCCTCCTCCCCCTCCTAAAAACAACTGTATCAAAACGACATTTCTTTTTCTTATAACACCACTCTTATCGTATTCTCTCTCGGTAATTTTTATTCTTTTAAAATTTTTAGGATTTTAATAAGACCATAACATATAAAACTGAATTCATGCATTTTACTGGAGAACTGACAGCAAAGACGTTAAACTTTATTTATCTGTTTACAAGATTCTAAAAGAAAGATGTGAGAGCAATAATAACATTTTACAAGCATACAGAATTTAATTTAACATTAACTTATATATTTCTTCTTCTATGTGTCGTGTCCCTCCAGGATATTGTCGATCATGGTTCGCTTTAGTTTGGTTTTGTTTGTTTTGTTTTACGGTATATCACCCTCAATTCTGACAAGATATTTATTGCTGAAATATTTTTTCCTTCAAAAATGTATTGCTGATAATATTTTTTGCTTCACAAATGTATTGATGGTAATATATTTTTTTTCAAAGATGTATTACAGGTAATATATATTTTTTCTAAACGCACTACCAGCAACATATTCCCCTCAAAAACGTATTGCTGGTAATATTTTTTTCTTCAAAAACCCACTGCTGGTAATAACTTTTTACAAAAATGTATTGCTGGTATTAAAATCTATTCCTACAGCTTCAGAGTGTCTTGACCCCAATTTGAGGTTAACTATTTTCCCATAGCTGGGACCCTTAACAAGTGCCACCTTCCTGGGTCAGGGTGGACCTGGAACACCAGCAATTAAGAGGTGATTCCACGCTACTCAAAACCTCCTGATCAGAGGCCTTGTTGTTGGATTTAGTTTATCGTCATACGCTGAGGTGCAGTCGGCGTATTCTGAAGCTCCAGGCTGACAGGGTATGGCTCTCTTTAACCAACACTCCCACCCCCGTTACTCATCCATTTACATAAGCTCGTCAGGTAGATGGCCCGCTGCTTTCCATTGTCCATTTTTCATTGGATATATCATTTATTATTTACCATATTTTAAAGATTATTTTGTTCATCATTTTATTCAAATTCTAAAATAAAATTTACCTTGAGAAGTGAATGATTGAGTGAGAGAAGGAGCATGTGAGAGAGAGTGGGTGTGAGAGAGAGAAAGCGTAAGAGAGTGAATCAGTGATAGAGAGTAATTGAATGAGAGAGTGAGTGAGAGACTGAGTGAGTGAATAAGAGAGTGAGAGAGAGAGTATGGGAGAATGAGTGAGTGAGAGTGAGACTATGTGAAGGAGTGAGAGAGAGAGAAAGAGTGTGTTAGAGAGACAGTGAGTGATAGAAAGAGTGTGTGAGAGAGTGAATGAGTGAGAGAGTGAGTGAGTGAGTGAGTGAATGGGAGAATGAATAAATAAGAGAAGGCGAGTGAATGAGTGAGTGTTTGCGGGAGAGAGAAAGAGAGTGAATGAATGAAGGAGTGAGAGAATGAGAGAGAGTAAGAGAGAATGAGTGAGTGAGACAGTGTGCAAGTGAGTGAGTTAGAGAGAGAGAAAGTGAGATAGAGAGAGGGAGTGAGAGTGTGACAAAGAGAGAGAGAGAGAGAGAGAGAGAGAAAGATAGACAGAGAGAGACAGAGAGCAAACGACCTATTGACACAGCCCATTTTTTGCCTGATCTTAAGTTAAACTTTGTCGATTGAACAAGTTATTGTGTTCGCTTATCGGTCGCAAAATAAGGCCATGAGAATTACCACAAGATAACCAAAAAAGTCCTTGCCGTTTTTGATTTATTAAAAAAGATAATATATATATATAAAGTAAATTTGACATAGCGTTAGTTTTTGGATCCCTATGATCGTCGTTGTCCTAAAAGAGACACGGTACATAATAGAAAGAAACCAATGAATCATTACGAAAAACGTTTATGTTACATGTTCTTTCGACACTCTATATTCATAATTGTGCTTGTAAAACTTTCCAAGCCTATTTGGCATAAATTTTAATATTTCATTGCATGACGAAAATTTCACATTACCTACTGGTAAACGTGATCATAATTATATGCTCTATAAAACAAATATCAACAAATTTATTGAGAAGTGCGCAATTCTTTTAGACGCTTCAATGCACTTAATTGCATGTGATAACAATTCAAGTGTTTGTAAGTAGGATATTTCATAAATAACATTAGGTCCGGGGGACACCTGGCACAGTGTATTAAAGCGTTTATTAAACCGTATTTGGTTCCTCCCCCTGTCATTTGTGAGTTCAATCCTGCTGCCTGGTTGTGCTAAAACGTCAAATACTCAAAGATGAGTTCTTATTAATTGGTGGGTTAATTGTCATTTAAATAATGGGTTCAGTTCAGTTGGACAGACAGCAGAAGAAGGTCGGAGAGCGCAGCGGCCGAAACGTTGGGGGTATCATAACAAAGATTAGCATACTGGTCTAACTGCTAAAGTGTACAATAATTACTTATCTAAAAAAAAAAATCTAGCAAAATTATTTCAGTCTGAATTTCTGGAAGTTATTATTTACTCTCGGGTTAATACACTCACCTTTATTCTTATAATGTTTCGACAGTTGTACTCTCCTGCCGTCTTCAGGTTTCTGTCGATACAGATAACTGTTTTGGGATCCTCCCCTTTTTCATATAAGTGGACTCGACCAAAGTGTTACTTGGACTACTGCCGTTAAATACCCAGAGTCAGTCAAAATATAGAGAGTGAGAAGAGTTGGAGGTAGAGTAATAGTGTGAGGTAACCGCTTGTAGAAGTCACAGTTACAAGCACGCCCGACTCTAAGGAAGTCCTACTTCGAGACTGTATATATTTATATATTATTACTACTAACCGTTTTCCTGGATTTACTAACAGTATTACCCTTTGTATTATTGTGTAAATACATTTTATTTCTTATATTTAATTCCTGTGTTTGTCATTCATTGGAGACCGAATTTCATCTCGGAATCCACAACAATAACCATAAAAGAATTTCGAACTGAAACTTTTTATTTAATCTGTTGTCGCTCCGCTGTCTATATCTATAGGGATATCTCAACTTGTTTTCTTTTTATTGCTCCTTAAATGCCACTAGTCCTGTTTCTATTAAATCTGAACCTCTATTACTTGGCAAAGGGATTGAACTCGCAATTACTATGCCAACAAACTTATCTTAATTATTAGGTTTACGCACAATGCTCCGACACATCAATATTATAGAAATCCAAGAAGTGTATTTGTCTCTTTACTCGGTTTTATATTATTTTTATGTGAGTGTTTACTTTTCTAGGAAGAGAATCGCGAGTAGGAACATGGATCGGAAGTGAATCGAAATAGGAAGCATAAATTAGAAAGTGAATCTGCAGAAAACATCCGTACCGGAACTTAATCGGGAACAGCAACTGGGATCGGATAGAATTAAAACCAGAAACATGGAATGAAACATTAAATTCCAGGAAACATCTATTGGAAGAGAATGGAAAGTAGAAACATGGATCGGAAGTGAATCGAAAGGAGGAACATGGATCGGAAATGAATCGAAAGGTGGAACATGGAATAGAAGTAAACCGAGAAAAGGAACATGGATCGGAAGTGAACCGAAAGGAGGAACCTGGATCGGAAGTGAACCGAAAGGAGGAACCTGGATCGGAAGTGAATTGAAAGACGGAATATGGATCGGAAGAGAACCAAAAGGAGGGATATGGATCGGAAATGAGCAGAAAGAAAGGACATGGATCGGAAGTGCACCGAAAAAAGGAACATGGATTGGAAGTGAACCAAAAGAAGGGAAATGGATCGGAAGTGAACCAAAAGGATGGATCGGAAGTGAATCGAAAGACGCAATATGGATCGGATGTGATTCCAAAAAATGAACATGGATTGGAAGTGAACCGAAAGGAGGAACATGGATCGGAAGTGAACTGAAATGGGGAACACTGATCGGAAGTAAAACAAAAGGAACATGGATCAATCGGAAGAGAACCAAAAGGAGGAAGGAACATGGATCGGAAGTAAATCGAAAGGCGCAATATGGATCAGATGTGATTCCAAAAAAGGAAGATGGATTGGAAGTGAACCGAAAGGAAGGATATGAATCGGAAATGAACAGAAAGAAAGGACATGGATCGGAAGTGAATCGATACGTGGTATATGGATTGGAAGTGAATTGTTGTTCATACTTGTAAAATCCGAGTAATATCGGCATATACCCCAACTGAAAAAAAAACACTGTCTCAGAAAAATAGTTCTACATATGAGTGAGTAGAATTTCTATAGTAGAAAAACAGAGAACTGTGTATTAATGGCGATTTGAATAGGACATCGGACATATTTAAATGCCAATCTTCCTTTGTGTTGTATCCTTAAAAAGGTTACAAACAATGGTGGTAATTGAGTGGAAGGAACATCAACACGGGCATAGACGAAAAAAAAAGAGAGATTTATTGTAAAAGAAAATACACTACTGAAAGACAGGGAGTCGACAAATACTGTCCGAAGCCAGTCAGATAGACAGACAGACAGACAGACAGTTACACTCTGGTATGTCCTGTGCACATGACATATATTACTGATATAGTCAGTCCACAATAGTAATACTTTCTTTCTATCTATCTATCTATCTATCTATCTATCTATCTATCTATCTCATTCTGTTAATATCTATCTATCGGGTTGTCAGACAACGCGTAAAATTTTTATACTACTATTCGTCCACTACAAGGCCCAAGAGACACTCAATGTAGACGGTTACCTGTGGTGTTACATGAGCATAAGAAAAGGCAAGACGTGAAGTTCATGAGGTTATACAAAAAAAAAAAGAAAAGAAAAAGAGAACGGCTAACCCTAGACATAAAGAGGTCAAGATTGTAGTGATTGGGAAAACATCCTGCTGGGTGTCTGATCCACAAAGAAGTAGTTCTTGTGAAGAAGCTGTCCGAATGGAACTTACTTCCGACTGTTAGAATACGAAGGGAATGAGAATGATTCACACTTGTGTACGTGGCATGGTGGGTCCTAGAACACATGCCATGGAAATAGCGATAGAACAATGAAAGACTCACGACGTTTCGTTTGCGAGAAAGTTTGTTGAGGGTGGAAATTAATTCATCGCCCACAAGGCCGCTTAGACGCTTTTGAACTCTGTCAAGAAAGGTAAGTGAAGACTGACCTGTACACATCTAAAGACTGTCTTTATGTCCACTAAACTATTATTATTATACATTGGAATCTGTAATATAAACAATAATAATAATAATAATAATGATATATTCTTAAATTAATGCAACATAAATTTAATCCACCTTTAACACACCCAAAGAAAGCACCGGTTATTGCTGTACGCCCAACGAGAAATTTGATACACGTGCACAAACACACAGACACACATAATTCGCACTCTCACTATCGTCTTCAGGAATTGGACACACACACACACACACACACACACACACCGTACACACACAGACATTATGAGACTTACACTAAAAATGTGCCAACTAGAATTCAGGCACACACACAATTACTAACGTCACAAAATATAAACACTTGACAACTCGACTAATAAAACAAACAGCATAGAAATACCAAACATTCTTCCGCATTTCCTCTTTCGCTTGGGAATATCAGGTGCTGTAAGCCTGGATGTGCGGATGGTGTAATGAATAATAACTCGGGATTGTTAATCGGAGAACCGAGTTCCAATTCCCGTTGCGTTCGTTATATTCACTTTCGTGCGAATATTCTTGGGAAAGGTATGAATTTACTTCTTCTCGCCACCAACTACGGGTTAAATCGTAAGACTTTTATCACGAAACAATTATTATCTCCTCCCCAAAATTCTTATAATCTAAAAATATTTTCTGGCTTTAAATAACCTAAAAAGTGTTGATAAGGCGTAGAAAACTAATCACTGCTTCAAAAAAAAAAAAAAAAAAAAAAGCAATCAAATTGGATAGCAGTCCCCGGGTCCACCAACACACACAAAAAAAGCTGTAACTCATACACACAATTCAATGCTAAAGATATTGTGGAAATGGTCGGATAACTGTACCACTCCGGTAAGTACCTGCTATCCTCTACCTTTAAAAGAGCCTGATGAGGCTGAAAATGGAGTACTGTTGCCATATATACAGGGTGCGGCAGAAATACTTCCCATATATACCCACCAGAAATACCTCCCACATAATGGTAAGACATTAGTGACCATGCTGTTCTCATCTCGCTGACGTCTTACAATTATGTTGGGGGTATTTCTGGGAGGTATATATCGGAAATATTTCTGGCGTACCCTGTAGTTATGAGTTGTCCAGATTTCACTTTCTAATCTCGATAGTGTCTAAAAGCGTCTCCTCGTCCCACAAGAGACGGAATGTTGCAAGCCTCTCGCTGTTCTATCGCTATTTACATGGCGGGTGTTCCTTGGTTCTGTCAGCCCTATTACGGAAAGGAAAAAAAAAACCACCATCACAAAGCTTTCAACCGCATAGCCGTGTGTCCTTGCAGGCATCAGTGAACGAATTTTGGGGGCTTATAAGCCCAATGCAGAACTTTAGGTTCGCTTAAAAAACGTTGGTTGAAGTAATCCAGTGACTTGATCCAAAGAGTTGTGAGTTCAATACCTGGCCACAGCAGAGGTGAACGAAAACTTGGAAAGTTGTGTTACTAAAGGGAAATAACTGAAACTGAGATATCCAGAAAAGGCAGGTTACATGCAAATGGAACAATCCACCCCAGTGAACTATATAAAGGGTTTGAATCGAAATTCCAAGGTATATCACCTTCTTCAGGTGATATACCTTGGAATTTCTATTCTGAAACGTCGTGAATATGACAATAAAGATGAGGACAATAGTTGGAAAAATGTAAATAGTTGCCTCATATCAGAAATATAGGCAAAAGAGAGTGACAATGTTCAACAATACCTCGACAGTATATCTGTTTTTATTTTAGGTTATGTTTAAATAAAGTATAAAAACCTAAAAACTCTAAAAAATATTATTGTTAATAATAATAATAATAATAATAATAATAATAATAATAATAATAATAATAATAATGTCCGTTCAACATTCAAACAGACTACCTCCTTGAAATCACCAAACCAAACCAAACATTACCGTTGTTGGCAAAGAAATACGAAAATGGCTCCTCTTCGATGTCACTGTACGTGTTGACCCTAATATTAAGAAATTGACAAGTTTAAATTAAAATTATCAGATTGGGACGTCTAGGCTAATTAGTTCCAGTTAAAAATAGGGCGTTGGGGCCTTTACCGCCGAACTTAAAGTTCTGTATTGAGAAAAATAGGAGCAAAAACTGGAATCCTATCGCTTCAGAAATTCGCGTTTCATAGCATTGTGATAGACTCTTTCAGTCTGAGGACGTACCACTTGATGGAGAACGCCCATAGTGCATGATCTCCGGTTGAAAATGAAATCTGTGCGTAAGGAGAAGGTAATAATAATAATATATGTGATACAGTCACAGGACCAGCAATGTATCAAGTCTGAAATTGGGTAGACCATTTTTTTGCGATTGTTAATATAGATAGAATAATTATTGAGGAGTAGTTTATTGATGTGCCCACTATCTCATTCTTTTCTCTGTCAATGATAGTGGCATATCAAGGACAAGCATCTGGTCGGGATAACAGCCGACGAGGCAGAGATTTATTGATTTGTGTATGTTGTAGTGACCACGGGAAACCTAAGCTGTAATTTGAAGTTCGTCTCTCTTATTATTGCTGATATCTGCCATTCTACTTACCCTGTTGTAAAAATAATCAAAGAAAAATTACACCTTTATTGAAGAAAATCTGTGAAAAAAAAAAGCCGCGTTTTATACGAAGATCAATTCTTTAAAATACTGCACTTGTCAATTTTCTTCAAATTTTATTAACTTGTTGACTGACAACCGAAAATCAGTCTAGGGTCATGTGGCGCCACATTTTTAAAATTTTTTTTTAGAAATATTTTGTTAAAGATCATGTTGAGTATCAATGAAAGTTTTTTTTAGCGCTAATATGTTTTGAGAAAATAACCGCCATTTTTTCCTAATCTCAGAAGCCATATCATCAACTTGTAGTGAATGCTACTTTCTTGTCTGCATAATATTCTTTTTCGGAGTTTCCATATGATAAATATAATATACATTATTTTCTAATAATTGAATGATTCGTGGAGAATAAAGAATTATTAGTTACAGTTAGTTTATAATTACGTCCTCGTTACCATATACTGATTCTGCAAATATTTCTAATATTGTAATTGAAACAATAAATTTCTTTGAGCTTTGTTTTTTATATCTACTCTAAATTTATAAAGCAATGAAGTAAAAGTTATGAGAAGACGAGTGCCATTTGCATTTTCCCAAAATTACACAGGGAATCATGAATATTAATTTATACAGAAATATGCAGAGTCTTCAAAATATGAGGAAACACCTTAGAATGAAAATATAACTGTCACCAAGATCTGAAGACACTGAGTAAACGGAAATGCCATGTCACTAATATATGCTGACATGGCAGTCAGCGTGTTAATACAGTGTAACCCGGATATAAGAGAGTTGTCGGGACCGGAGAAGAAGTCTCTTATATCCGGGTTTCTCTTATATCCGGGTTTGGTCTAATTTATATACATTAACACAGGCTCTAATTTGGGACCAGAGAAAATCTCTCTTATATCCTTTCTGATAGCTTGTCTAAATCTCGCACCATATTTCTATTTCTGTCTCCCATTTCCTTTCCACTTCACATTAGTTATAATCCTTGACTCTCTTATTTTACACAACTGGGGCACCTCGAGACAGTGTAATGGTTAAAAAGCTTGTCGTTCACGAACAATTACAATTGAGTAGTTAGTTCGATCCTCACTAGGTGCCTTTATTTTCGGCTTTGTGTCACACCTAAGCTGCGCTTAGAAAATCATTTGGACACCTCAACATGGCGTCATGGTTAGCAAGCTTGTCTCGCTAGAAGAGTTACGACTGAGTAGTGAGCTCGATCCTCACCGGGTTCTCTGTACTTGCTGGCCTTGTGCCGCATCTAAGCCACGCTTAGAAAATCACCCTATTTTATACAACTGGTTAAAATAAGAATTGGATATAGCAGGTTTATCATATACGATATTTTTATCCTTAGCTTGAACGGACAGCTATAGATCTGCTAATCGTAGTTTACGCTGGCAAAACATTGTTCGTTAGAAACAAAGAAAAGAGTGTTGAACGGCAACCCTCATATATGGCAGTGAATACTGGACAGTTTCCTTACAGATGATGAAAAGACTCGACGCAACGGAAATGTGGTTCTACAGAAGGATGCTGAGAATACCATGGGCGGAGCATGAACAACGATGAAGTTTTAAGGAAAATGGAAACAAAAAACACACTTATACTTAGATTCAGAAAGAGACATCTGAAATTTCCTGGACAAATAATGAGGAAAGAATGTTTGGAGAATTTGACACTGACAGGACATATTGTAAGGAAGAGGGACCTAGGGAAGTAGCAACAAGCTGTGAATGGATAGTAAAAACATAAACATTTCATAGAGCAACGAAGAATAGGAAGTTGGGGAGACTCATGAACGTCTATGTCCTGAAGGCACATTGAAAAAGTAATAACATCTTAACTAAACTTAGTTTGGCATGAAGCTCTATGTACGAGGCACCAAGTGAGAAACAAATTC